GATTAGGAAGTAATTAAAGTTAACAGTTATCTCCAACTAGGGGTAATGGATTAGCCACCTGAAGGCTTTATCTGTTTGTAATCTCCGCCCAGGCTGACAAAATGTCAAAGAATAAGAAGAAGAAATTGAAGAAGAAGCAGAAGCGCCAGGCAGAATTACTAGAGAAGCGAATGCAGGAAATTGAGGAAATGGAGAAAGAGTCGGGCCCTGGGCAAAAAAGACCAAACAAGCAAGAAGAATCAGAGAGTCCTGTTGAAAGACCCTTGAAAGAGAACCCACCTAATAAAATGACCCAAGAAAAACTTGGTATAACTAGAGCATCACAAAAATTACTTTATAGCAAAGTTTAACATTATCATTGTTATATGTAATGGTTTCATGCATACAGCACATCTTTGGGGGTGTCCTTGTATAGTAAGAATACAGAATTTGTCATAAATGTTAGGCAGGTGATGTTCAAATGTAATTTCTAACTTTTCCCAGGAAATGCAACGTAGACATCATTTAGCAGTTGGGTAAGGATAAGAAGATCTTTGTCCTTCTATACATAGGTTTTAGTTTTTCAATTGTGTTTTTACATAACTGTGTAAGTTCTAGAAAATATTTTGATCTTGTAGAGAAATTTTTCTGTTCTTTCACTCCTACGCATACACATGCATCCTTTTTGTCTCTTTGTTCCTCAGAAGAGTCAAGTACCGTTGACCAGGATCAAACACTTGTGGAACGTGGTGTAGAGGGTGGTACAGCAGAAATTAATTGCAATGGAGTAATTGAAATCCTTAATTATACTGAGGACAGTGAGGACAGTAATAAAGAAACACTGAGGCTTACAGATGACCTGCATAATGCTAATGACTCTGATGTTCAGAATTTGAAGCAGGAAGCTAGTTTCCTAAGCTCCCCAAATGGAGACAGCAGCACATCTCAAGAAACAGACTCTAGTACACCTGTAACTGAGGTGTCAGATACTGTGGTGTGTCAGTCTTTATCAAATGTAGACCAGTCACTCAGTGAACAGGACATCAGTCAGCTTCAAGAAAGTATTCGGGCAGAGATACCTTGTGAAGATGAACAAGACCAAGAACATAATGGACCACTGGACAGCAAAGGTACCTATGCAGACATATTTCCCCAGTACTTCCCCGCATACATAGTCATCAATTTCATGGGTTTTGTTAATAAAGCTTTACAGCAGGTGTCCAAGTGACGTTAAATGTGTAATCGGTAGGTAACTGAATTTTATTGTCCTGTAATGGGTGCACAGCCAAGAAGGTAAAGGTTTTAAGTCTGGAAACTCAAGGTGTTGCTATCCTCCTTTTGTCTTAGAAAGGTTATTATAAGTTGCCAGTTGGGGGCCTGGTGTATTACCTCAGAGTTTTATTAACTTTGGGTAGTTCTGTTCATTGAATAGTCTTATTGATAATGCCTGTTGTCTATAGGAAAATCTACTGCTGGAAATTTTCTTGTTAATCCCCTCGAGCCAAAGAATGCGGAGAAGCTCCAAGTGAAGATTGCTGATCTTGGAAATGCCTGTTGGGTGGTAAGTTAAACTAGTCTCAGTGCTTTGTTTTGAAGCAACTAGTGACTGCCTCCTGCACACTCCCCACTGGGGATGTGCCCGCAACCAAGGTACATCCCCTTGACCAGAATAGAACCTGGGACCCTTTAGTCCCCAGGCTGACGCTCTATCCAATCGGCCAAACTGGCTAGGGCTATTTTTTACTTCTCATAGGAAAGTTCACATTTATTTATTAAAGTAGAGAGAATGATATAATGAATCAATCCTGCCCAGTGAGGCGTTTATTAACAGATCACCCTGAGGTTATTTTCAGTCACTGGACTTGTCAGGTTTAGTATGGAGTCCCTTTTTATCCACGTTATGGGGTTTTCAAATAGCTTGATTTTTAAGGGAGGAGTCTCTCCCTTTGCCAATTTTTCAGTCTCCACACATCAGTACTTATCTTTATTTCACTCATAAATGACTATATTGCTCTCAATTCTTTTTTTTAATTTTAGGTATTATTTCTTCCTCCTGAAAAGTAGGACTAATGTACCACCACTGCACCCATCCCCAGTCTTCCCAATTTAGTATGATTTTTGGCTAGGTATTTATTCTGTGTTTCCTTATTAGGACTCTACTGTTATCTTTAGCTGAACTGAACATGTATTGTGTTAGGATTCCTTTTCCTTTTCTGCCTAACACTGTTTCATGCTTAGACAACTTTGTACACTTACCACTTAATTCAACCCCACATTTTCTCCTAGTGGTGTGAATACTTACACTTTAACACAAAAAGATACCTTGGTATTCTTTCTTTTCCCCTAAAAATCTCTGTCCTGTTACCTGGAGTCTTCTGTCTGTTCATCCTTTGGATTGCCCTATAGGCCTGCTGCATTTCTGCCATTTGGGATCCTTTACTGTCGTCTTGGGGATTATTGTTTACTCTCTTTTTATATCCCTTGTTTCTGTCTCTGATCTTTCTTGGTTTTGTTTTTGTTCCATTTTTTGGAGTACATGTAACTTCAGTAGCTTCCTAAGAAAGGATGTGTGAGATTGAGCAGGCAGAAGGGAGCCTTGTGTGTCTGATAATGTTTTTATTCTGCTTTTACAATCAGTTAGCTGGGCATCAAGTTCTAGGTTGAAAATCATTTCCCCTCAGTGTGGTTGTAATTGCTCCATTCTTGTCTTGTTGCTGCTAAAGCTCAATGCCATTCTGATTCCTGACCTTTGTATGAAGCCTTTCCCCAGGGAAGTCTGAGGGACGTCACTTCGCAGCAGTGCGTGCCTCTCTAGCTCTGTTTCCATCCATTATGCTATGGACTCAATAGTGAAATTCGAATTCCTTGGTTTTATTTTCTTAATTTTTTTTTTAATTCTCTTCTTTTCCTTGGTCTCTGTTCTCTAGCTCTGAAGTCGCATTATTCAAATGTTAGACCTCCTATGCAGGTGCTATCATTTCTGAGGTTTCTCTCCTATTTTCTATTGTTTTATTTTCTGGAAGATGTTTTTTTTTTCCCAGTGGGAGGGGGATGGCAGTTTATTGTCCAACACTCTCATAAGAGGAGTGGCCAGGGGCTCCGTCTGCATCTCCTCCCTGCATTTGGTTAAATCAACAACTTTTCTTCTCAAATCCCTATGCTGTATAAGATAGACAAGGCCCCCCACCCCTACCCCCAGGAGGGGTTTAGGCAGATGGATGGGCTTGGGGGTAAAGTTCAAGTATTCAGTTCTCCCTCCCAGATTACACTGCGCCCAGGCCATGAGAGTAGATCCCAACCTTGGGGTTTCTGGTGATGTTAATAGCCCTTCTCTCAGAAACCTCAAGATGAGCTCCCTACCCCCTTTCCCTGACCATCACAAACCACAGCCCTAAAGCAATGATGGCGTGTCAGCATTTTGAAAAACCCTAGCTTAACTCTGGTGCCGTGTCACATATAGAAATGTTTTGATATGTGCCACCATAGTAAAACAAAGACTCATATTGTTGATATTTATTTTATATATTTAAATGCCATTTAACAAAGAAAAATCAACCAAAAAAATGAGTTCATGTGTCACCTCTGACATGCGTGTCATAGGTTTGCCATCACTGTCCTAAACCCTAGAGTCTATGCAAGGAGGGGTCCTCAGAACGCCACTCTCTGAGGCCCCTGCCCCCCTGGCATGGAGTGACGGGGGCAGGCAGCCTTCTCAAGTAGTGACGCCTCGGAGCAAGTGGCGAGGGGAAGGGAGGGGGCCGAGGGCCTCGGGAGGCAGGCTGGGAGGGGCCTGGTGGATAAAGCCAGACAGCTCGGTCTGCCTCCTCACCCCACACCCCGGGCCCTAATCCCTGAGAGTCTGCCGGCGGGACGGGGTGGGGTTGTCCTAAGGCCATTATAAAAAGCTAAAACCATTAAAAACTTCTTGGGGAAATGTGTTTCCTAGCTTCTTGCTTCCCCAAGTTATCAACCTCCCTAAAGCCCATCAGAGAGAGCTGAGCCCAGAGAGGGGGTCCATTAGCACCATGCAATGTTGGGGTGCCCCCACAGCCTGACCAATCCCAAGCAGGAGCCCTTTAAAGCTGGAGTGCCATTTGCTAAAGCTTCTGTACCCTTGAGGGGGGACCTCTGCAGGGAACGGGTAAGGAAGAAGGCTTGGCCAAAGTCCAGGCGGGCGTCTCAGCTGGGACCCCAAAGTTCCCTTCCTGGGGTCATGACTTAAAAAATCTTTGTACCACAAACTGGCCCAACAGAACCACAGCCAGAACTATCAGCACATTCTGGATGGGGCCATTGCCCAGGTCCAGGGCCGCTCCTCTGCGCCATCCACCCGGGCACCGTAGTGATGCAGAATGAAGTCGGCCACGAAGCGGGTCACCTGGCCCAGGAAATGGGTCAGGCCTCGCTGGTAGGTGTAGAGGGCCAGGCAGTAGCCGAAACCAGGCGGTAGCTGAAGCCCAGGAGAGCCACCACCCGGCCCCCGTTGATGCCGCTCTCAAACAGGCTGGAGGCAATCTTGGTGAAGTACTCGTAGGCGTTCTCTGGTGTCAGCTGCAGTGCTGCAACATGGTGTAGCACAGGTTGATGTTGTCCCTGATGATGGCAAGCTGCTGACCCACCTGCACCAAGGTGCTGGCAGGCTCTGGGGACAAGGTGACCATCTCTGGGTCAGTGGGGGCAGCTGACCCCTCAGCTTCCTGCTCCTGCTGATGGCGATAAAAAACGTAGTTGCGGAAAACCTCCTCTGTGTCCTGGGCTCCCTGCTCCTCCAAAGTGGAGGACAGGGCAGGCCCTTCACACGCATGCCTGGGAGGGCCGGGTCCTTGCCCAGACGCCATTTTTCAGGTCCCTGGGGAGAGCATTGTTAGCCCAGACCCCGGCCTAGGTCAGGGATGGCTCAGTGGGGCTGGGGCTGTAGATCCCAAGGGGCTGCTTCAGGGTAGCTGCCCACGCCCGGCTTCCAGGAGTGACTGTCAGTGAGTTCCTGGTGTCCAGTTGCAGTCTCTGCGGGTCCCAGTGCAGCCCTCGGCACCCAAGAGGCTTCGGGGAGCGTGGAGGAGCCGGCAGCTCTTCTGGAAGATTTTTTAACTTGTTCTCAAGAAGCCTTATTTTTACTCTCCAGGTTTTTTGGTACTCTAACTTTCAGAGCATATTGATCATTTTCCCAGTTTTGATATTTTCTTCCTATAAGGTGTTAGCTCCTTTCTGTTTAGGATCACTAAACAAAGGGCCGTATGACCAAATGAATGGAGTTACTAGAAAGCATTTGGAAGCTCTGCCTGGGTGGATCTCGTTGACTGTTATTCACTATAGAATGATCTGTCTGGGCTGTCCTTTTTTTTTTTTTTTCAATTACAGTTGATATACAAGATTATATTAGTTTCAGGTGTACAGCATAGCAATTGGGCATTTATATAACTTACGACGTGATCACTCTGGTAAGTCTAGTACCCACCTGGCACCATACATAGTTACTACAATATTATTTACTGTATTCCCTATGCTGAACTTTACATCCTGTGAGTGTTTTTATAACTGACAGTGTGTACATCTGTCAGGTCATTTCATTTCATCCTCAAATGTCAGGATCTCTGGATCTTTCCTCTTAAATTGGTCATATTTCCCACAGAAACTTATAGTCTTCCTTAGATTTCCTACCCAGAGAGTAAATGCCTGGCTACTAGCACTCTAGGAGCTGAGTTAAGCAAGAAAACTGGGGCTCACCATGCAATTAGAGTCACTTAATTTCCCTGTCTTCAGAATGGTACTCTCTCCTCAACTGTACAGAGCATCTCCGGAGACCCTGTTGTACCCATTCCAGAGAAAACCTCCAAATGGTCTGTGGGCCATAAGGGCTGTTAGACTGTATCAAGCCCTGTGTTCTGGTGCTCTGTTTCTTTAAACGGTGTTTTAAAGGATCATTCCTGTATTGAATCGCCCCTCTTCCGTATTTCCAGAGATACAGTGGGGCCTTGACTTACGAGTGTCCCGACTAATGAGTTTTTCGAGATATGAGATACGAGC